TAAAATTTGTTTATATGCGTACATGACATACATACTTATTATAATAAAACCAAGGTTTTGAAAATTGGACCGAACAACGAACCGAAAGAATGAGAGGTTCATTGTTGGATTGGTTCGATCGGTCGAACCGAATGACGTAATAATTAATGATATTATTAAAAATTATAAAATGAATGAGAAATTTTTCCCTAATACCTTCACTATAGATTCCATTTTCTATCAAACTAATCAAAGAACCTAAAGATTACATCATTTAAGTTCACAAAATAGAAATAAATAACACATAATATAAATATTTCATCAAGCAATTCAATAAAACACAAACAAATATTTCATCAAGCAATTCAATAAAACACAAACAAATATTTCATAAAAAAAGTAAATAACACACCAAATGACACACCTTGTGGGTGTTGAGGAATGCATCTCATCTTCAGATCTCTTTCTTTAGCATGTGAAACTATTAAAAAATAAAATGAACAAAGAAAAATGAATTAAACCTATGATAAAATATACAATTAATAAATATATAAAATAAACTGCATATAACATACCTCTTTATAATTTATAAAGCAAGATTGTGATAAAAAAATTAAATATCATAGAGATAATAAATTCATAATTTAATACCATAGACATAGAGACAAATTTAATAATTGTCATTCAATTGCTTATATCAATTTACATGAAAAACTCAAAACTCAAAACACTATTGGTAAATCTAATATTTATCAACTAAATTTGTGTGATCAAATGATGGATTCCCAAACACTCCACCAAAATCTTGCATCCCAAATGCTTATGAATCCTCACATGGTATTTCATCTTCATCAAATATATTAGCTGAGTTGTCTTCATCTGTAAACAATTAAGAAATATATAAAATAATAAGTATATATTTTATATTACACTTAAAAGATATAAGTTAATTTACAATCATACTTGGGATTGATCCCGTTGGTGTAATTTTTGGTTCTATATCAGTAGGAATTCCATCCTCTTTATAAATTTTCGTCTCCAAGTCTTCACAATGTAATTCTGGAGTTGGTTCATCATCAAGGATCCAAAAGTCAATAAGTTCAATACTTATGTAGTCCAACAGATCATAACTTCTTTTTCTAAGTTGCAACCAACATAATTATTATAAAAAAATTAATAATATGATGTGCATCATTATTTAAAAAGATATTTAAAATAGGTTCCAATAATACATATTTTTTAAACTGAGATTGTAATGAACATATACTAGATCATTCAGCCTTTGGTGCTCAAGATGATTTATTCTTTTTATATGAATCTGCTCAAACACACTCCAGTTCCTCTCACAACCTGATGAAGATGATGTCTGACTAAGAATTATAATAACCACTTTTTGTAGATTTGGTCCACTAGAGCCGAACATCTTTCATCATTCATATGCAAATCAATAAACCTTGCATTAATTTGCTTAAATAGATTTATTATAAACAAAAGAATCATAATTTATCATCTCAAAAAATAAAATCTAAAAAATTTGTCATCTTATCAGATTGCATTTCTTTTGACAATGTTAATGCAATTGGCCTCACTTCATTCAATGCCAAAAATGGTTTAGCACATATAACTTTATTACCAATTAGTTCTATTAAACCTTGCATAACTTCAGGGTTGTTGTAGTAATTTTTCTTGTCATACTGAAGTGACGGTTAAGAAAATAAGCTGCTGAATGAATTCCTTGTCCTAGTTGATTATCTCATCGATCTTCTCTTTATGATACTAGTGAAGGGCTTGTACATTCTTTTGTTGTGTACCTAATTAAAATAAATTATTGTATATGCATTTCACATAAAACGAGCCTATAAATGAAAAATATCATCACAAACTCATTTATATAGTTATGAACTTATGATATTAATGAACAATGAATCAAATAAAACTTAGGCAAAATCGTAAAACCTGGCATTAAGGTAAGATGAGTGGGTTTTCTTTGACCTACGATCAAGCTGGATGCTATAAGCTTCCCTCAACTCCACCTTTTGCTTCTTCGATCAAAGATGGAAGAGTAGAATAGGAGAAGAGTTGGAATCGCGACTTGCCGAAGAGGAGATAAGTTGGGATCGCGACATGGGAGGAAAAACTGAAGCTGCGTATGCGTATGCGTATGAAGCTTATGGACTTATTAGGGATTTAGTCATTTATGGTTATACGGTTCAGTAAAACCTTTTTTAATCGTGGATTGCAAAATCAATGGTGGACAAAAGCATTATTTTAAACCAACTGGTTCGTTCAAAACCACCCGGTTCTCCGGTTTTATGGTTCAACCGACGGTTCGTCCGATTTTTAGCCGATTCGGTGCTGAACCAATTAACAAGTTCTACTTGACCGGTCAGCCGACCGGTTCCCGGTTCAACCGGCTGAACTGACCGGTCCGATCCGATTTTCAAAACAGTACGCTGAATAAAACTATTGTTGAATACACACATGTACGTGAAAAAGAGCGTGCTACATTTCCTTATAAAATTTACTAGTTTTAGTACAAATGCAAAATTTACTTCTATTAAGATGATAGAGTGAATTGAACATTGAGTATGATATTAAATGTTTATTATGTTATATATACTTTAAAATTTGTGTAAGTAAGAAAGACTTGTTAGAAATAAATGACTAATTTAGATTGACTTAAGACACATTATCTTATACAGGAGCGTGGTCAGACAAACTTTCATTTAAAATAAAAATTGTGATATAATCATAAAAATATGAAAAGAATGCATAAAGAGATAGATTGACATGATATGATACACCAACGGGTATGAAGTAATTACTACTGATATAAAAACTACCTAAATTAAATTACTTATAATATGATTAATTCTTATAGGATTGACCTACAAGACTGGATAAAGGAAAAATATCACAAATAGTTGGATGTTTTTTTGTACTTATAATGATTGCACATACATATAACAGGAATATATATATATATATTAAGCAATCTTGGGCTCGTTGGATTCTTCTCATCGAACCGCTCTATTTGACTATGAGCATGTCATATCTTGATATCAATTGTTCATCCAAATGATGCTCTGAAGTTTTCAAGTATGTTTTGATCATTTGATTTGAACTCATTTGGGCTCGGATTAGACTGAATTTGGTGTCATTGAGTTCTTCTGCCTTAGATGTTCAATTTGGCTATAAGTATGCTAAAATAGGAGTTTGGATGGCCCCAAATTTAATTTTGGAAACTTCCAACTCATATATTACATTGAGATTCGTGCCGATCAAGATGATTTTTTTGGTGACATATTATAATTTATAATTTTTAGAAACTGTGTCCTATCAACAAGTTATTAAACTTCACTATCGTAAATCTTGAATATGAAAATGAAGAAAATAATAAAGTGTTATAGATGAGATAATGCGCAATATCATACACATATTAAGCACCCCCAACTCTCAACAATGGCAAATAGAATTGTACATAAATATACATAAAAATGTCCACAGCTTTGTATACATTATTGAAATAGATTATTAGAATGATGATAAATGTGATTCATAACACTCCTATGTGATGTGTCATAATCACCATTACTTTGATCAAATTTATTTTAGTAAACACTTATTTCGGTTGCAATAATAGGCAGGTTGTGGTTTTACTAATGATATAAGTTAGTCTTACAACTAACTTAGGTATGAATTTTGCTCGCCAAAAGGATTGAATGGGCGCAAATAAAACACTTAAGAAGCATTGATGTAGGAAATTTGGAATACATTATGATGCTTATTTTTTATGTATTTGAAATTCACTCAAATTGAATGAATTTCAAATGCATAGAAAACTCTAGCTAGTGATCTCATATTTCCACTCACATATGCCCCCAGTTGTCGATGTGATTGTCAAACATTGCCCAACACTAGGGGTGCAACCGAGTCTGAGCAGACTTGCGAGGCGGCTCGGGCTCGACGAGCCGAGCTTTAGAGCTTGTGAGTCAAGCTCAAACACAGTTTCGACCTCGAAGGCTTAACGAGCCAAAGTTCGAACACTCTGTTGCTTGACTCGAAAGCTCGTGTAAGAGAAGACGATCCAGGCGGGAGCGGGATTCGGGAATCAGATTTTGTAGGCGGGAGGGAGCGGGATTCGTAGGCAGGACCAGGATTCAGGAATCATATTTCGTAGGCGAGAGCGGGATTCACAAGCGAGAGCAGGCTTTGACGGAGCTCGACAGGATGATGAAGCTCGCGTGTTAGGACGATGAGCTTGCGGCGTCAACGACGGGAAGATAGTCGATGGAGGTCGACATAGCTCGGGATGACGAGCGGGATTTACGGACGATGCATGTCAGAAAGGAGCTCGACGAGCCGCTCGACTCGACTTGTTTCGTGAGCCCAGTTGAGCTCAAACTCGAGCTCGATACTTGGAAGTCAAGTTTTACTCGAACATCCCTTGACTCGAGCTCGACTTGACTCGACTCGACTTGGTTGCACGCCTACCCAGCACACATTGCACCTCCCGTTATAGTCTATGTTATTGTTGCCCACTGCCCCCTACAATCCCTGATCGTCACTGAATCACCACATGCAACTATACATCATATTCCAATACATTTTAAATATATTATAACGACACAAAATTAATTCAGTGCATTAAATTTACATCCAACAAATTAAATTATATATTTTTAAAATGCATACATCCCTATTAATCTACATTTATATCCGATCAAATAATCCCAATCTAATCGCCTACTAATTGAACCGACTTGTTTGCCGAAATTTAGCCCCACATAAAAATGGTATAAACATAAATGCTCTTCTCCGCATAAAATCAATGGTAATAATTCAACGTACCTCTTTACGGATGATGCAGATTGCTGTCTCGCATGCATTACACACCCATACAAGAATGAAACCTTTGGCTTGCGAAGCGAAACAGCTGACGTGGCCTGTAGCGTGTGGGATTGGGTTATTGAAACGTGTGGTCATCACGTTGCTTGAGAGGCCAAGAACAAAGATATTTCGCCCCAGCTCTCCTCTCTGCCTTTATACATCCGCAGGAGGACCTCGTCATCGTCGGCTCCTTCCCCCTTTTCTTTCGGAGCGATGGCCGCGGTCGTCAACCTGTCAGTTACTTCTCTCGAGTATGTCGGCGGAATCAGTCTCCCTCGAGTCGATCAATGCCGGAGGCTGCGGCATCTAGGGGCAATTGAAGGAGTAGCGTCTTCTTTGTGTTCGTTGAGGGTGCGCCGGAAGAGGATCGGCTTGCTTCCGTGCAAAGCCTTCGGATCGGAAGATGGAAGGGGTTCTAGTACGGGGGATGGAGATGGAAATACGGGCGGTGTTGAGGAGAAGAGTTATGTTTTCTCTTCGAAGGCGAAGCGGAAGGGGCCTCTTTACTCGCTCAAATCTTTACTTGTTAGGATTTCAGGAGTGAAGTCTCCGCCTGAAGGACCGTATAGGAAGATCGTGGAGAAAGCTGAGGATATCTTCTTTTCGGTGAGTAAGGAGTAGGTTAATCTTTATAATTAGATGTCTGTTTTAAGAGTTTCAATTATAGTTCCAGAAGTTTAATTATTTTATTCAAGTGACATTGCTGCAAATCAGGTTGATGGAGTGTATAGTATTACTTGAATCTGGATTTGCTTTAACTATTTTAGTATGAAATTGTCCTGGATATTTGTATGTGTTTTTTCATAATAGAGGTTCCCATAAATTTATTTAAATTCCTATTTTTCTAATATTTATTTAACTGGAGTTAGGGGTGCAAACTAGTCGACTCGAGTCAAGTTTTTTGCTTAATCATGCTAAGCTCATTTAGCTTATACCGAGCTTGAACTTGAACTCATTCATTGCAGGTTTCTACGCAAGTAGGAAGATACCTTCTTACTATGATGAGTACAGGTGTTATACTTGCAATTGGATTTCAGTTATCAGGTTTGTGAGGTCTCAGTTTGCATAACATATTCAATTCTCTCCTTTCTTTTTTTCTTCTTGTTTTATCTCAACCTTTCACCATCCTGATTGTTGAAGTATATTTTTTTTTCTTTCACTTTCTACTGCAAAGGTGGGGATGCTGAGATGAACGCACTGATTTGGTATAGCTGGCTTGGTGGGATAATTATTGGGACAATGATAGGGGCAAACATTGTTTTAGAGGAATATTGCAAAGCTGGTCCTCGCAATGTTGTCATTACAGGAAGGTACTGTGTTTATCACACTATCCTTGTGAATGGCAAAGGACGTCATTCTTAGCTGTACTTGAACTTTTATTAAGCTGGAAAACGTTTTACTGGTTTTGTTATTTTATTGTGAAACCTGCTGGTGGTAAACGTAGGGGGTACAGTCCAATGACTTGTACTGATGGAGTAATGGGTTGATTAACAGCAGAAGTAGGTGATATGACTTTGAACCTTTTTGGTGTTGTTTAGTGTTCATCTAACTTTGAGTTAACCTTTTTAACTCGAAACATGGCCAAATTTCCATTTTTTTGGTATCTTTTGTTGCTTAGTGAGTCATGTTGATTTGGGCCTACTGCCAAAGTATTTGCAATTTTAATGCTTATTGTGTCATGTTGAAAAAAATGTTATATACTTTTAAAGATAGTTGGGTGTGTACTTTAAGGTTTAGTGTTGGCTTTTATGAGTTGTAATTATTTGTAAGAAAAAGTTTATTGCTACCGGTTAATTTGGCATCTAACTAATCCTTTTGTAATTTTACTTGTTTCACAGCACAAGAGGATTAGGTAAGGCTCTTGCTCGTGAGTTTCTTCTCTCTGGTGATCGTGTTGTGGTTGCTTCCCGCAGGTGATATTTCCTTTTGAGATGAACCTTCCCACTGTTAGGCTTCAAACCTTTTTCATAGCTTCTCATATATTTGGAATCCAATTTGGTCCCTTTGAAAGGCAGTCCTGAGTCGGTGCAATCAACTGTAGAAGAACTTAATGAAAACTTGAAGGAAGGTATGTCTATTGCTGGGAGCAAAAGAAGTGTGAAACTTTCAAGTGCTAAAGTTGTTGGCATTCCCTGTGATGTTTGCAAGCCTGATGAAGTGAGGGACTTGGCCAATTTTGCTGTCAAGGAACTTGGCTCAGTTGACATTTGGGTATAGTGTCAAAATTTTAAGCATATTTGAGTTCATAGCATTCTGTGAATTTCGTTCATTGATGAATATCTTTTCTCATTTTACCTTACAATGGCAATAAAAAGCAATTATTAATCACTAACTGGTTTATATGGCAAATTAACCCATCCGATCTGTATTGTTGATAACTGATTATTCCTACTGTATTGTGAACAGTGTCATAACTGTACTATGCAGTTTAGATTTTTCTTGTATTTTCAGTCATTCTTAATTCAAAATAAAACATTAGAGTTTGGATCAGCAAATTTCTTTCAATTGTCTCGTGCTGTGGAGAATTTTTGAATTGACAACTGTCTAAATTGCTTTTCAATAGCTGAAATTTAAATAATTTTTAGAACGATGCCTCTCACTATAAAATATAAATCATTACCTTATGCAATGCCTTATGTTTTACATGTATGATAGCCAGCGCTGGAAACTAGACTGGAAAACAATGAACAAATATCATGTAATAAAGATATAATCTCTATTTCACAGTATTTCTGTTCATACCAAGTTAAAAAAATTATGAATTAACACCATCTAACTGCTCCTCCATAGTCCTTTCTAAATTTCTATCCTCTCTGACATTTCATGACCAGTATTGGTTGGGCTTCTTAAATGAACGGATATTATGTATTCATAGATTTTTGGATATTCTTTCGTTTTCCTCTTCTTTTTGGGTCATATTTATGAATAGTTATGTCCTTTGTTGGAAATTAAATTCAACTTAATTGTAATTCAAGAATTCTACAGGTTGCATGAAATTCTTAGGGAGGAGCCAAAGGTGACTAATTTAAAATCAATTAAGAGAATTATTTGTTACATCTTGAAGCTTCAAAGATCAACTAAGACAGCAAATCATCATCATGTTAGTCAAGAATCCAATTCATCAGAAAAGGACAAGTACACAAACATTCAACAATGTCACTTCAGAGCATTTGTATGGTAATATGTAGAGCTTATCTGCATAGAGGCAAATAATCAAACTGTGGATATCTTCACCAAACCACTTGTGGAAGATATATTTCATAAACTCAAGGCTACTCTTAGAATGAAGAATGGAAGCCAACTAAGTTTAAAGGGAGAGTTGGAAATTAAATTCAGCTTAACTTTAACTTCAGAACTCTTAGGATTTTAGTAGAATACTAATCATCAAGTTGTTTTGATTGATATGTTAATGACAGGTCATACATGTGTAAAGTATACAAAAAGTAACGAACATACCAAGAGTCAATATGGATATTGGAATGAACCCTTAGATGATTAGATGATTGTATAGTAACTCTTTGTTTAGAGTTGTTTTGTATCTAGAAATCTTCATGTAGCCCATATATACCCAGTGGTTCATTTTTGAATGTCAAAATATATAACTTGGGCCTAAACCCCCTCCAAATTTCATTTCTAGTTCCTTGTCTAATCTTGTGTTGGTCATGCTATTTCTCCTAATTTCTATCACCCTTCATATATCAATGTTATTTTTTTCTATTCCTCTCCAAATAGAAACTCTCTTGTTTTTTTTTTTAAATAAATATTCCAAAATATTAATGTCCACAAATATCAATTATCCTATGGAATTATTCTCGTGATGAACTTGTGTTAATTGACAGATAAACAATGCTGGGACTAATAAAGGTTTTAGGCCACTCTTACAGTTTACGGATGAAGATATTGATCAGGTATGATTTTTTTTTTTCTGACATCAAGATGACTACTATTTGTTTGCTTGTTCAGCTTGATTGCCGCAAACCTTGTTGATAGTTATTATTGGTGTTTATTGGCCACTCCTACAGTTTACAGATAAACAATGCTGGGACTAATAAAGTTTTTAAAATTTTCTAGGTTTGTTAATAACTTTATAGTTCATCAAAATCCCAATAAATTTATTGGAGTAAAACCTCTGTAAAATTGCCTTTGTTCAGTGCACAATTTTTAGAACTCCATTAGTGTTGATGCAAATCTAGTCATCCATCAACCGGTAAAATTAATAAAGTTTGGTAAAGCATCAGTAATATTACCAAAAATTGGTGCAATAATTGTAAATCTGCCAGGTTTGAAAAATCATTTGAGTTTTTAAGCATCCTTGGTTAAAAGAAAGTTGAAAACTTGAGTTTTAGTTCGCTAAACTTGGAAAAACATTGTTATAGTGACTTTTATAATAATTGGTCATTTTATAATGGTCACTTGTTACCTCTCTGCTTTGTGAACTTAGCGTTTTAACACTAATTCCACATTGCTTAATGGCCAGATTGTGTCCGCGAACTTGGTTGGGTCATTGATCTGCACAAGAGAAGCTATACGGGTTATGGGAGCTCAAGGGAAGGGGGGTCATGTGTTCAACATGGATGGGGCTGGTTCTGGGGGATCAAGCACGCCTCTGACTGCTGTGTAAGTTTGCATGCATTCGTAGTGCGGATCTTTTCATAAAGCTCTAATCCGTTGTCTGATTGCGTATTTCAACAGCATTAAGAGTTACAATTTAGTTTGTTGTTTTGGCAATAAAATCCCTTTCAACTAAAATATGCCAGCGTTATATTTAGCTATTGGGAGATTTACATACATGCCATCCTATACTATTATATTTAGATATTTAACACTAAAATTTAATATTACATACATAACACTCATAGTTCATTTTTATTTCAAATAAGAGTGGTAGAAATAAAATATATGAGTGGTAGGAAGGAAATATGAGTGACATATTTGATATTAAAATAATACAGGATGATATATATAATATTAAAGGTTTTGGTGTTAGATACGTCAATATGACAGTATAAAGTGGTATGAATGTAAATTTCCCTTAGCTAGGGAATTTTGTCTTCAGTTTTATGTCCATTCATTTTGTTGTTTGAATTTATGAGGAAATGTTTAACAAGTCCTTTGGAATCAGATGAGTTTCGCTTATCTCCGTCAATTATTTTGGTAGCTATGTAATCATGTGTAGCAATCCTCTTATTTATGATAGATGAATAACTTTTATTCTACTGTTCTCTCCATAACTGCTGATAAGATTTCATGCCAAACTCTGTGCATTTTATGTTCTTCTCTTCTAGGAGTAACCAAACGCATAAGTCGTTGTGGTGTAAGGATTGATCCACTTTTTTAAAAATATTACAATTAGGTCCCTGAGATCGAATGATGATGCAAATAAGTCCCTTTCATGATTTGTTTTGTTAAAAATTTCACTTCCTAAAATACTTTTGTTATAAGCTTGACCAAGGGATCTCATTAAGACAAAATGAGGCCTCCTAGCAACTTCACCCATCATCTCATGTGAAGTGATTCTCACAACTTTCTATGAATATGAGAATAAAAAACAAGAAGCTATTGTAATGAGGTGCTGATAATACTCTAGTTCTATAGATGCTCCCATCATCTTCATTTCAGATTTATGGTTTTGTTTTGTCTCACATTTGTCAAAGATTTCTTGTTAAGGCTTTGGCTCACACTCAGTAGATTTTTTTCTTGTTGTCAACAATTTTGAAGATGACTCGCAATTAAATCTAGTGAGATTTTCCTTTTCTATGTAGTCTTTTTTTTTTTTTGAACTTGCATTTGTTAAGGGTTTTTCTGACTTGCATTTTGTATCTTTTGAGTGCATTTAGTCTTCTTTTCCAAATGATTCATTGTGTAATCTCTGAGATTTGCCTCTTTCTCTTTTCACTAGATTTTCATCGAGAAAGAAGGATAAAGAATTCTAGAAAGCTGGGAAGAGTATTATGATAAGTAATATGTGTGGCATTCAGTTGCAAGCCACCCGTGCTCAAGTATTTGAACTAATGACAATTAACTAACAATGTGACGCCAACTGGAAATCACCATGGACCTGCTTTAAATTTCAAGAAGTGATAGAAACCTAGTTGTGATATTTTTGAAAAGGTTAACCAACTTGGGATCATCATGTAATTTACCCAAAACCAAATATGCAACCTAGATAGAAACAACATCAATTTTTTCAATTTGTAATATGCTCCTTATATCAAGGCGGAGTTAGCCATTGTCCTTTGCTGGTTTCTTCTTCTGAGAAATTCAGAAGATTTTGGAAGCTTGGAATTTTCTTTCTTCCATTGTTGAATTAACGGACCATGGTTTGCAACATGTTTATTCCTTGATTCTCTATTTTATGCTAATTTCCTTTTGTATCTAATTTGTAGCTATGGCTCAACAAAGTGTGGGCTTAGGCAACTTCGTAATTCACTTATGAAAGAGTGCAGAAGGTCCAAGGTCGGAATACACACCGCATCTCCGGGAATGGTTCTAACGGATCTTCTTCTAAGGTTATTCTTGCCTTTCTCCTCATGAATCTTATTAATTTAAACAACTAGTTTTTTTTGCTCAATTAAACATAATTTCAGTTTGATAGTTTTTTTAGTGAGTTTTGAATTTCTTTCATTTCATGCCTCTACTTCAAGTCTTATTAGTGCTAATAAGAAAAAGTTGTGCCCCCTATAATACTTGGAATCTAACTTCAGTTTACATAATATTAACAACAACAACAACATCAAGCCTTTGTCCCACTACGTGGGGTCAACTACATGAATCTTTTTTTGTCATTGTGTCCTGTTAAAAGTCAAATTCTCATTTAAATCTAATAATGAAAGATCATTTCTAATATTTTCTAACAAAGTCTTTTTAGGTTTAACTCTACCTTTCTTAATATAAGGCAAATCTAAAACCTCAACTTTCCTAACCGGGTCATCGGAAGGCATCCGTTTAATGTGACCAAATCATCTAAGACGACTCTCTCTAATCTTATCTTCCACTGGAGCTACTCCAACCTTTTCACGTATATGCTCATTTCGTATCCTATCTCTAAGGGTAAAGCCACTCATCCACCCAAGCATCCTCATCTCTACATCACTTAACTTAGGATTATGCTTCTCTTAAAATTTTCATAATATTATGCAAGGTAAAATTTTCATGCATAATCCCCTAAACAAGTAAATTATATATATAAAAAAAAACTATGCGTAACTTTTGTCTAGCAACTTTTCAGTGGTTCAAGCCTCAGAAACAAGCAAATGTTTAACATCATCTGTGAGCTACCAGAAACTGTGGCCAGATCATTGGTGCCAAGGATAAGAGTTGTTAAGGGTAGCGGCAAAGCTATAAATTACTTGACACCCCCTCGCATTCTGGTTGCCTTGGTCACCGCTTGGCTTCGCCGTGGTAGATGGTTCGATGATCAGGTAATCTTTTATTTCAAACTGGGTAAAGTATATTTACAAATTATTCTTACAGATTGCAATATCTTCCACCGCTATTAGTGATGTTATAATCAGGGTTGCTAACGATTTGATCTTAAGCCACTTCTAGACTTAAGCAAAATCTTGGCTTGATTCGATCTAAGTATGACTCGTTTACTTTGATTTGAGTTAAAAATTATCCTAACTTGATTATTTTTAGATCTTTTAAGCCAAAATTATAGCCCAACATCTATTCTTACACTTATATATCCACTTTTTAGAGTACAGCTCATTAACTCTGATCCGAGTTTTATTTGAGCAAAAAAATTATCCAATCTCGATTAATTTTCTATCTTCTAAGCAAAATTTTTAGTTTATAATATATATATATATATAGACAACCTGATTTCCAGAGAACTTGATCTTGTCCAACTCCAACTCAAAATCGGCTCGAATATTAGGCCGAGCTATATGACCTGTGGTTTAGGTTTCGTTTGGGACGATTTTTTTACTGTTTCTTAAAGCAACTTTCTAGTACATAAATTAAAAATTTTACTTTAAGAAACAGTAAGAAAGCCATCTCAAACAAAACCTTAGACTTGTTTTGCTTGATCTCAGCCATAATTAAAGTTTCTGAGTTATAGTCTCTTTTGTTTGTCAGGGTAGAGCACTCTATGCGGCAGAAGCAGATAGGATTCGTAACTGGGCCGAAAATCGGGCAAGATTCTCCTTCACAGATGCTATGGAGATGTATACAGAGAATGCCTGGGTGTCTGTTTTCTCTCTCTCAGTTGTCTGTGCCTTTATAATACTCTCCAGCTCAACTAATTCCGTTCATGGCACATAATTTACTCGGCATGATGATCATTTAGGGTTTTGGAGTAAACTATATTAACAACAACTATAAAATTCCTCCAAAGCAGAAGAAGAAAATTGCAGGAATACAGAAAATCATTATCAACCTTGATAATCTGCCACAAAGAAGGTATTTTTTGTTTCCTTTCAATCTTTTGTTTAAAGAAATTCTTCTGTGAATACAAAGGCAAGTTGTATTTTTCAACTTGTATTCTGATAATCCCTAGTGGCTTGTAAGGCGGGCTTAATTAGTTTACTGTATGGAACAGCTACTGTGCATTGAATCCTTGTAACTTACAGAAGAAATCTATCTATATCATTTGTTTTTTACTCCATTGGCAGTTAATAAAATGGCTAAATTAGTGAATGTAGACTGTCATATTTGTAGCTGCAATGGCTGATGATTTTGTACACTACAGCCTGCCTGATTATATGTAATCATGAGTAATTAAACATGATGTAAATTGTAAAATATAATTATGTATAGCCTGTTATATACTATAAGGCTATGAAGTATTGAAGTATCATATTATATATAAAATTATCATTAAATTAAGTACTCATTACGCTAATAAGTATTATAGATTTTTGCTATAAATATTAAATACATGTTCTAATATTTATATGACAAAAAAATAATTCTAATAAATCTAAAAATAATAATATAAAAGAAAAATGCTTCAGTTGAAACATTTTTTTTTTAAATTTTAAAGTGGTTTTTAAGTAAAAGAATTTTTTCAATATTCTTATTGAAAAAGTATAAATCTTAATATGCACAATTGCACATTATATTAAAAAAAAAAGTGGTTCAAGCCAATTTTCACAAAATAAGTATAAATCTTAATATGCACAATTGCACATTATATTAAAAAAAAAACAGAAGATAACAAATTTAATTTTTAATAATCTTATTTTCTCCAATTAAAAGCAGCTTTCTTACTACTTCTTAAAATAAAATTTTATATAAAAAATTTATTTTTTAAATTAAAATATTATTTTAAAAAATAATAAAAAAAATCTTCCCAAA